AGCATTATCCTTAGGAGTATGAATCCTAGGAGGACTCTGCATGAAGAAATAAAAGTCCTACTAGGATTATGCCACTGGAAACCTATAAAAGCTCACAAGCATCACCTTGGAAGAGGTAATTGAACACAATTCTTTTCTGAGAACATAAACTTTGTCTATTTGTCAAGCTTACTGACTTAGGCATCGGAGAGGTTTCCGGCACACACCCGCCGGCTAACTCACGTTTATATTTTCAGGTGACAAAGCGACGTCGTACGGAAGAGCGTGGACTTGGTTAACAGGATTATACGAGGAGAATTATTTCCTCCCCATACATAATCTTTTACATAATAGAATGTAAGAAAAAGAATTCATATATTTGACATTATGTTATTGGACAGAAATACTTAATTATTGTAATTTATATTACATTTATTTTATTTTAAATGAAGAATTGTCGCGTCAGTATCACTGAAAATTTGGGTTGAGGACGGTAAGTGAACTAAAGAAATGAGATATACTCAATTTAAAGTGACCTCACTCACCAAGAATGGCAATATGTAGGGTATGAGTAGGGAGTCCCTACGCAAACCCCACCTCATTTTCTTCCCTTGCTCCCACCCTGATTGACCCTCATGGAACTCTCCCTCACCCCTATTCAAACCTGCAAATAAAACCCTCACCTCCAACCTCGCCCAATCTATAACACAACAATAAGAAGTTTAACAATAATATAAAATTTAATAATTAAAATTAGATATACTATTTATAATTAAAAAATATATATTTTATATTGTATATATGTTAAAATTATATTATATATATACCATAATAAAAACTCAAACATTATACACACACATATATATATAATATTATTATTTATTATTATTTTGCGGGTCGGATAGGGTTATTTATTTATTATTATATGTACGGGTCAAATACGATTCGGATAAAGAATATTCTCCTTCGTCTTCGACCCGAACCCAATTGAATTTAAAAAAAATAAATAAATAAATCCGATCCTATCTTATTCAATCACTTTCAAACCTATCTCATTAGGGTTAGGAAAGTCGAGGATCCGATGGATCGCAACATTTTGCCATACCTACACCTAACTCACCAAATAGAGAGATTTAGAAGATAATATATAACTGTCCATTAGTAAATGAAATTCTTCTATATCATTTTACATCATCGGTCCAGATGGCAAACTTCCCTCCAAGTCTATAACACATCTCTATATCCTTCACTCTAAAAATAACTTCCCTCATCCTCTTTGTTCCCAAATAATTCTTTACCTGTTGACTACACGGCAACATTGTTATACGAATTCGGTCACATCCTACTTCATTTCACTCAAATAATATTTGACGGGTCAAGTCTTGATACATCCTTATATCATCAATAACTAACTGCGAATAAAATTACAGTGAATGAAAATGCTATTTTTCTATGCGGACAATGTGTCTTTGGCTTTGGTTTTTTTAATTAATTTTTTAAAATTTTGACATTTTTATTCCGATTAAAAAATTTGTTTGAATTAACTTTTGTAAAAAAAAATAAAATAATTATAATTTATGATATTTTATTTTATTAATTTTTTAATTTAATTTATCTTTTTTAATTAATTTAACTCAAAAAAATCAATACGAAACGAAGCGAATAAAGTCTCTTATCAATCATTCAGGGGGAAAATTTAAAAATTTGGACCGGGAAAAATCACCATCAGGAAATTTAATTGGAAAAAAGGGTCCCCAAGTTAAAAAAAAAAAAAATTTTACCCTTTTTCTTTTTAATCTTTTAACTAGGAACTTGTTGATTTTCCCTTTTTTTTGGGGTGGGTACTCTGTCAAATTTAAAATTTGGTAAAAAAAGCACTTTCTTAGACCATCTCCAACGCTTCAGCAAACGTGATATCAAATTCAAAATTTGATGAAAAAGTCACTTTTTTGAGCTCCAACCGTTTCACCAAATCGATATCAAATCCAGAATTCAGCAAATCTTGTACCAAAATGAGAACAGGCGAAGCATTTTACCAAATCACTGTTCCTAACCGTTGGGAGAGACCAACCGGTCAACCAGCCGGTTGCCCGGCCGGTTGACCAACCGGTTGACCGCCTAAAGGTTCAAACGGTTCGAAAAAAGGTAAAAAAAAAAAAAAAAAAAAAAAAAAAAATTTTTCCCTAACCGGTCGACCAGCCGGTTGACCAGCCGGTCGACCACTAAAAGGTTCAAAAAGTTCAAAACAAAAACAAAAAAAAAAAAAAAAAAAAAAATTTCGCTTAACCGGTCGACCGACCGGTCGACCGGCCGGTCGACCAACCGGTTGTCCCTGGCACAAATTTGATGAAATGCACCGTTGGAGCGAGTGGTATCAAATTGGTAAAATGAGTCATTTTTGACTCAAATTTGGTGAAAAATCTGAGTAACCGTTGGAGATGCTCTTAGGGTCAGGAGAGTCGAGGATCCGATGGATCGCAACATTTTGCCATACCTACACCTAACTCACCAAATAGAGAGATTTAGAAGATAATATATAACTGTCCATTAGTAAATGAAATTCTTCTATATCATTTTACATCATCGGTCCAGATGGCAAACTTCCCTCCAAGTCTATAACACATCTCTATATCCTTCACTCTAAAAATAACTTCCCTCATCCTCTTTGTTCCCAAATAATTCTTTACCTGTTGACTACACGTCAAACATTGTTATACGAATTCGGTCACATCCTACTTCATTTCACTCAAATAATATTTGACGGGTCAAGTCTTGATACATCCTTATATCATCAATAACTAACTGCGAATAAAATTACAGTGAATGAAAATGCTATTTTTCTATGCGACAATGTGCTTTGGCTTTGGTTTTTTTAATTAATTTTTTAAAATTTTGACTATTTTTATTCCGATTAAAAAATTTGTTTGAATTAACTTTTGTAAAAAAAAATAAAATAATTATAATTTATGATATTTTATTTTATTAATTTTTTAATTTAATTTATCTTTTTTAATTAATTTAACTCAAAAAAATCAATACGAAACGAAGCGAATAAAGTCTCTTATCAATCATCAGAATTAATGGACGGAAATCACAATCAGAATTAATGAAAAGTCCCAAGTAAATTACCTTTCTATCTTACTAGACTGTTGCTTGAATAAGTAGTTCAAAATAAGGATCTTGAGCCCATTTCTTTTTTTAACCTATTGTATGTGTTTGGAGATATTTTTGTAGATTTTTTTAGTTGTAAGACATTATTGAAAGAAAAAAATTTTATGTTTGAAAAGATAGTTGAATTTTTTTTGTGATTGAATGTGATATTTGTAAAAAAAAAAAATTATTATTATAAAATTTGATATGATATTTTGTTCGAATTTATTTTTTTAATATTGTAAAATATTTATCTTGTAGTGAAAAAAATAAAAATAAAAAAAAAACCTAAAAACCAAAGTTTCCAAACACTCCCATTCAATCGAAAGATATTTTAGTAGAGAAGGGGGGGAACAAGTCGGCTATTCAGAGAGCCTTTTGGACCTATTTCTTTTTTAAGGTCTGTATTTTCATATCCCTTAAATTATGCGAATTTGGCCTCTGATTTACTTTTAGCAGGCCACATACGGCACGGGCAGCTAATGAAAGTGACAGCCATGTGGCCCCACTGCTTTTGCCCATTGACGACGGGTCTTCCAACGTCATTCAATTTTAAAATCAACAAATTATATATACTCTCTCTTGTTTTAAGAAAATTATAAATATTCTTAAGATTTAAAAAATTACAGATATTCTTCTCGAAGTTATATTTTCATAATAAATTAAGAAATAATTTATTATGAAAATATAAATCTCAAGAGTATCTGTAATTTTTAAATTTTTAAAACCTCAGGAATGAGTGATTCTACTTACATAACACTTTCAACTCATTACACCCTCATTTTTTATATTTTTTATTACTATTTTATCCTTTTATAAAATTACCGATTAACCCTCCTAACCCTAAAAATTCAACAAACAACTTTCTCACGCCACTCACCATTCTCCACCACTGTTATCTCACCTCCGACAACCATCTTCCATCACCGGCCAGCTATCTTTCAATTCCGACAACCCTTTCCCAACGCCGACAACCCTCATCCACCCTTCTCCTATCTCCCCCAACCCTTCAGAAACCTTTCCCTTACCTCTAAAAACCCTTTTTCCTTCCTAGAACCGCCATCCAGGTCAACCCTTCCTCTCTGTGAATCGCTATTCTTCTTCTTCTCCTCCTTTTCCGCTGCTATCCAGATCTGAAACTTCTCTTTTTCGCTTAATCGCTCACGATGATGGAGGGCATGGATGGGTCCGCAGGGTGGTTCATGGCAGTGTAGATGGGTTGTGGCGGAGACGAGTCGCCACCAGAGAGAAAGATCGCGACGAAGAAAGAGGCTGGAAGGGGAGGCGCAACGGAAGATGAAGAATGTAGAATGGGAGATGCAACAGCAGAGGTGGGCTAAGAAGGTGGGCACAGTGAGGGAATAGGCTCGCGGTGGTCGGATATGGGAGTTATGAGGGGATCTAGATAGTGGCGGCGGTGGTAGAAGGAGTCGCTGTTGAGGGAGGAACTGTGGATCGGCTACCGGAGATAACAGTGGCTGTCGTAGGAGGTGGTTGGGGATTGGGTAGAATTAGGATTTGAAAGTTGAGGGTGTAAACAAGAGGGTATAGATGGTATTATGAGGATGGTAAGGAGATAAAATCAAAATTTTGAATTTTGATATGTTGTGTAATTAAAAATTTGGTGTAATGAGATATTTTTATTGTGTAAGAGCATCTCCAACGCTTAACTTCTTTTTTCATCAAATCTGATGAAAAAAATGACGATTTTTTCAATTTGATACGAGGCGCTCCAACGGTGAGCATCAAAGCAAAATTAGGGAGGTGGTCGACCGGGTGGTTGACCGGCCGGTCGACCGGTTTGGGCAATTTTTTTTTATTTTTTTTTTTTACCTGTTTGAACCTTTTTTGACCGGTTTTAACCTAGTTATTTCAAAGGGAACCGGTTGACCGGTTGGTCAACCGGTCAGGCAACCGATGTATCTCTTTCAACGGTCAGTAACAGTGATTTGGTAAAATCCGGAACTTGTTCTCAGTTTGATACTTTTTTTGCTGATTTCTCATTTTGATATTCATTTGATGCAACAGTTGGAGCATGAAAAAGTATATTTTTCATCAAAATTTAAATCTGATATCAATTTTGGTTCACCGTTGGAGATTGTCTAACTAGAATTAGCCTTCAAAAATATCTATAATTTAACTAAATCTCAAAAGAAATATATGTAATTTGCCCAAAATCTTATTAATACATTCGTATATTTTGATAAAATTAACTGTCACTTGAAATGACCCCCAAACCAACTAGTCAACTTGATACTTATATATTTATTAATAATCTTATTAAGACATTTACAAATTTTAATAAAATTAATCGTTACTTAAATTAAGTTTGGGGTGTACTAAAAAAAGTGCACTTCTAAGTTTATGGTGTACTAAAAAAGTGCACTTCTTGTCTTTTTACGAAAAGATGTGCAAAAAAATAGAGAAGTGATGTGATGATAAAAAGATAAAAAGATATTATATAGTAGATGACAAACAAGACCTTAGTATGACACTAAAATTTTGACAAGATTAACATCATTTAATATTGGTATGACACTCATGCAAGTTTTAATAAAATTAATCATCACAAATCAATTTGTGTGTTAATAAGATAATTAATATTCTTAAACATTTTTCTTTTAAAATTTGATACTAAATTATAAAATTAACTATTATCTCTCCAAAAAAATCACATAATAATAATAATTAATTAAATAAACTAAATGTACAAATTAAACAGATAAAATAATATTAGATAACTGTCTAGAAAATCAAATATTTTTGATGAAATTTGTCGAGGCAAAAGAGAAATTGAATCCCAATCCAACAAAAATGAATTTCATTGATCGAAATATTTTCACATATCGGATATCTGAAAAAGGTACAAGGCAACATCGCCTAACCAGAGACCAAAGAAAAGTCATAACCGAAGAAGGAACTTGAGAAAATGACAAAACTGAACCAAATAACCACCAAAAGCACGAAGGACAAGCAAGCACAAACAAAGCCATAAACCTAAAGCAAACTTGTCAAACCCTAATCTTAATTCCTCCAGTTTCCATCTGAGGCACCCCCTCCCCTGGAGTATCTAGATCCGCCGCCGCCGCCGCCTCCGTATCCACGATCACGGCCACCTCCTCCGCCGTATCCACCTCCTCCGCTTCCATATCCACCGCCACCGCCGCCACCGTATCCCCCACCGCCACCGTAACCGCCGCCTCCACGGCCACCACCACCGTATCCACCCTCACGACGACCGCCACCACCACGGAACCCGCCGCCTCCGCCACCACCGCTTCCGCGGGACTGTGCCTCGTTGACGGTGATGTTGCGCCCGTCAAGATCCTGACCGTTCATTCCCTCAATAGCGTCCCTCATTGACTGCTCATCCTTGAACGTCACGAACCCGAATCCCCTGGATCTGCCAGTCTCACGGTCGTTGATGATCTAAATCATGAGATCAAAACCAGAAATCGATCAGATTTAATCAGATCTACAACATAGAAACAGTTTACACACATGTACAAAGAAAATTAAAACTGAAAAGCGATCGATCCTCATCTTTTGACAAGTGAACGTACCGTTTCAGAGCATCAATAAAAGTAACATATAGTAACAGTTAACAGAGAACAGTAAAACCAGAGAGTAACAGATAACACAGATCAGGAGAGGTCGACAAAGCCGAATCGGAACAGATCCGATCTCTGCGACGTGTGGATCAAACGGACCTTCGATTCGATTACTTCACCGAACTGAGAGAAAGCCCTCTCAAGTGACTGGTCATCGGTGGTCCAGGCGAGCCCGCCGACAAAGCATCTGTACTCAACGTCAGCCATAGATGAAGAAGGAAAGAGGGGAGAGAGAGAAATTGGGATTCGAGAACCCTAGAGAGAGAAAGAAGGGGACCCGAATGACCCCACTTCTGGAAGAGAACGAGATAATTAGGTCGCCCCGTAGCACGATTATATAGCTAGGTTCACGGGGTGGAGTTAACCAGGGTTAGGTTAGTTAAGCCTTTGAGGTAGGGTTAAGCTTTTAAAAGGGTGGTTCCGGATTGTTTGGTTGCGGGTGCAAGGGTAAATTCATTTAACTCCAATAATTTTACGAATAATGTTAGGAAAATGATACCATATAAGCTCACTTTCTAGATTAATAATTAAAAAAGATATGACATTAAAATATAATTATTTTAAATATTTTAATTAAATATTATATCATTTAATTTTTTTAAAAAGTGAGTTTAATTTTTTAAAATAACAATGTCTATAATGTTACAATAATGACTATTTTTTACTACAACGTGAGGGTTTATTATCATCATTGATAGGTAATTAATGTGCATCATATTAAATAGGGCATGATTTCTGTCCAGTCCTTAATCAGATTGGATTATACTGTTAGATCCGTGAAAGCTCACCACGGGTCCCGTTATGATAATCTGAATCGTTCAATGTGTAGAACTCGTCGAGTACTATATGGTTGTGAAAAATCACGTTAATCGGATATCGATAATTATGTGATCAAATCAGTTTTGTATAAAAAAAATGGACGGTGAATAAATTAACGGTTAACAAAAATCTGTTTTGATCACATAGCTATTGATATCCGATCAACTTGATTTTTTACAGGCATATAATACTCGACGAGTTCTACACATTGACGGTTCAAATTATCAAAACGAAACCCGTGGTGGGCCTCTATAGGCCCAACAGCACGGTCCAGTCCAATTAAGGACTGGACAAGAGCCATTCCCTATTAAATATAATAGATTTTGTTCAATATTTGTTATATGTATCAATTGATATACCAATTAATATACTAACATAGTTATGGCATTATTATTTTAAAACTATGACTCTATTCATTATACAAATTATAAAAATTCAAACTCATTAAAATTATGTTATATCATCTAATATATCAATTGATACATATAACATTATTCTTAATATTACGTGCAAACCACGTTTTGTCAAATTTGTTAATTTATTTATTTTAGTAGGTTATTAATCTCAAAAAGTAAAATAAAATAAAGAAGATATGAAAATTTGAAATCTCTTTGATTTTATAGTTAGTAATGAATTAGAATGAAAATATAATTTATGTTTATCTATTCAATTATGAATTTGTAGAACTTTGATCCTTACACTATCTTGAAATTGGGGGTAAGTATAATTCGGATTGGTTTGATTTGAGGTAAAATTAAGACTAATTTGCTGTCTACAGTTTCATAAAAATTGAAATCAAATCAATTTGTTTAAATCATGAAATCAATCTGAACCAAATCATTTAAACACTATTTGGAACTACGATTTCTCATAATTTCAACTTGTATAAAAAAAAAATTGTTAAAACTACTTTGAATTATAGACTTTCCTTTTGTAACACTGGAACTAAATAGTGATGCATTGAGAAAACAAACATAAAATTAGCCAAATTATAGCAAAATAAGCAAATATTTTCACTCTACCTTTACCAATCAAAAACTAAAGAAACAGGACTTCACAAGAGATGTTAATATCATGAAATCGTGAATTGAAAATCGAAATCAATTTGTTAATTACGATTTCTCAATTTTTCAATCTAAAATTGAATTATAGATTCAAAAATCCAAACCAAACATACCAAATTGGACTGGACTGGTTTGATTTGTGAATTATACGGATTCCTTATTCAGCACTACTTGAAATGGTTTTTTTATTTTTTTATTTTTTAAATCGAAACTAATTTGATAAAAATAAATATTTTCAAAATATTTTCAAAACTTATTTCTATCATAAAAAAGATAAAATTATATAAAAATGATTAGTGTTTTTTTATTTTTTTTCACAAAATTAATTTTTAATTTTTTAAATTTTTTTATGAAAATCAAACCAAACATAACCATAATATTTTTGAATTTGTGAAAATTTATATTGTGATAACAATGTTGATGATCATAATATTTAAATTTTTACTGTCTTTTGAAAATAGAACAAATGCATTTTATTACTATCAATACTATTTTTAAGATTCTTAAGTTTCATTTGGAAAGTTTTAGTTAAAAAGTTAAAAAATTATTAAAAAAATTAAATAATTTATAATTTATATTAAAAAGTCAAAAATTCTCTTTTCTCTTTATTTTTTGCACATTTTTTCGTAAAAAATTAAAAAAATATTTTAAATATACAATTTTTTTACCTCATATTTTAATCAAAAAATATTTAAATAATATATTCTCAAACCACACCTTATTCTATTTTATTATTCTTGGCATTGAATCGTAATCTGGGTGCAATTTTATTTTCCCTAATTGGCACAACAAAAATAGTGAATGCAAGCTAGTAGATGTAATTAGGGGCTCTCTTTGAGATCTTGCGCTGTATTTCGGTCGAAATTTATCCGTGACTGGAATAGTTGATGAGCTCTGCTGGTGCTTCAATGGTGGGTCCTTTACTTGATGGGGGTTAATTCCTAACTGGCAACCGATTAACCCGGGATCAGGGCCGGCAGGGGCTGTGATGACACCACAAAATCTTTTTTTTGTGTTCAAAAAAAAAAAAAAAGGGCTAGTAGATGTAATCGTAACCAAACAAGTCCCTGCGTTGACTGGATCGGGCTTAAAAGTGCGAGGGGAGAGAGAAGATAGTTGAGGTAGGTCCCGTAGTCACGTGACGCATTCAAAGACTAGATTAAAACTTAGGATATTTTTTTTATATAAATAAATATCTTAGGCGTCAATTACAGTTGTGCCCATATATGATCGACGAAATTACGTGCTGTGTCCTTAAATGGTCCCTTTCGTGATTTCGCTATCTTGATTGGAAATTGAAAGAGAGCACTACTGTTTATACCTATTTTTTTATTTAGGACTCTTCGTTCTTTTTTATTTTTTTTAATTCTAATTTTATTCAAATATGAAATTTCAAATTTATTCTCATCGTTACCATTCTAACCTTAATTTTTCAAATCCTAGATCACCCCTGGCTGCAACATTCTTTTTCTAGTGACCTTCAACTCCTCTGTTGTACCATCGCTACTGCCGTTCCTCCACCATCGTCGTCGCTACCTTTCCAATCAGAATCAGTCATAAACCACCAACACCAAAACCAAAAAACAAAAAAAAAGAAATACAGAGAAGAGAAGCAGCACCATCACTACTTTTTTGGGAAAAAATTTCAACTTTACTGCAATTCAATCTTTTCCAAAAATTAGGTTTTTGAAGAAAACCACCACAAGGATATGTTTGAATAATGAGATTTAAATTAGAATGCCTATTTGAACTACGTCTCAAATCACAAACCCATAAGCATCTCCAAGGCAGGAGGCAAATGGAGAGAATTAGACATTTTGCCTATTGAAGCTACATTTCTAGGGCTCCAACGCATGAGGCAAATGGTGAGGCATTTTGCCCATTCTCGTTTTGGCTCTCCACAAGTAGCCAGCGTCCATTGCTAGGCAAAGCACTCTTCCCACCATCTGTTCCAGCCCATTGATCACAGTATGACTCTCTCCCTCTAATATGCAACCTCAGAACAGGGCCAAGAACATCACCGATCCCCTTTACTTTATTCTTTCCTTCTTGCTCAATCTTGAGATTGAATTTTGTGAGTGAAATTCTACAAAATTAAGGAACCTTCGGTTCTCGATGGTGTAATTGACCAATTGCTCGAAGTTCGGGGCCGACCAGGGAAACAAGTGTAGCTTTTGGAGTCTCTGTTTGGGTTTCACTTTTGAGGGTTCTGTTTGGGTCAAACTTAATTATATTGAACTGGGTTTGGCTTGATATTGATTGTGTGTTGAAGTGGGTTTCACTTTCAAGGGTTCTGTTTGGTTTATTTTGTATTTATTTATTTTTGTCCACTTGGAAATCTATTGATTTCTAGAAGCATTTAAACATGTTTGTTTCTCAGTATGACTTGCTGTCGATGAGCACAATTTTTTTTATATCAATGATTATAATTTTTTTTTCTAAAAATAAGTTAGGGATTTATTAATGTTTATTTATTTATTTATTTATGTCAATGAGCATGTCATAAAAAGATTATTTATTTATTTATTTATTTATTTTTATAATAATTTTCTTTTAAAAATTAGTTAAGTTAGTTTGATTGATTAGCTAAAATAAAGAGTATGGTTGGAGCATACACTAGCTACACTAATTAGGCAAAATAAAGAAGGTAATTTTTTGTGTACTTTGAAGAGGCATTTTAGAGAGTATGGTTGGAGATGCTCTAAGGTCATGTTTGATTCGCAAGACTAATAGTGAGGTATTAATAATACTATCAAAATTAGTGTGGTATTCACTATCCAATTGGATTAATAGGATAAATTATCTATTGGATTAATAATCCTACCCCTACCCCATTACTAATAATTCTACAAATTTGTTGAATTAATTATCCATTGGATTAATAATCCTAAACCAAAATGTTAAAACAAACCTAGGATAATTGGGCCCACGGATTAATAATTCCAATCCCACACTCTAATCCATCCAATCAAACATGCCCTAAATGAGCAAAATCAAGGCTCTAGAGCCAAACTAAGGACAGATCCAGAAGAGACTACCCACATGGGTTTTCATATGAGAAACCCACACTATGGCTTGAAAGAGAAGATGAAGGCTTTAAGCCTCTTCTATGAGTAATAAAACAAACCTCTGCAGCTCTCAAGAACCAGCTGAGGTCCAAGGATCGCCAGTTTTCGACTCATCAAAGCGTCGACTTACTCGGTTCCAGCAAGAGATGAGAGAGAAAAGAGCCAATTGAATCAAAACAGAACCATGCGATATGAGAGAATACAATTCCTAATCACTCTACAGTTACAAGAACTTGCCTCATCCTCCAATTGATGATGCCAAAGAAAATAATGTGGCGGTGGATGGTGGCGGCGATTGGATTGTTGGGAAGAAGAAAAAGACGAATGAAAAAGAGAAAGAAGGAGAGAGGGAGGGCGCGGGG